AGACTTTGAGTCTGGATTAGGCTGATTAGATGTAGATGCAATCACTGATGTAATTTTATTATTCATTCTGATTCGCTTGGTCTGTAATAAGCTTTGTAAATAACTTTGTAATAACTACTGGGGTATAGTGAAAGGGGATGGGACTGAATCCATGCCAAAGGGGTAGAAATCATGTCTATAAGATATTTACTCTTTAAAATTCTGCATTTTCACATAGAAATCATGTCTATAGGATATTTACCCTTTAAAATTCTGCATCTCACATAGAAATCATGTTCATAGGATCATTACTTTCAAACTCTGCATTTTCACGTAGATACCATGTCTATAGGATATTTACTCTTTAAAATTCTGCATCTCGCCTAGAAACCATGTTCATAGGGTTATCACTTTCAAAGCCTGCATTTTTCACATAGATACCATGCCCATAGGTTTTCTGCACTTTGTAATAATACCATGGCAATAAATCGATAATGAAGCTATGCATATTGTATAGATAATATGCCTATAGGACTTCCTGCACTTTGCATATGCATTTGTCATTAGGCAAGCCTGCTTATAGGAGTTAAAATAACTCATTACCTATAGATGACCTGCCTATAGGATCTCTGCTCAAAAATCAGTTACACCTAGAAAACATGCCTATAGGAACTATCAACTTAATCAGAATCGCCACTCGTTCCTAAGTTTAAAATCAGTGGCAATTTGTTTAACACTCGTAAAGCTTATAACTAATGACTTTTTGCAATCAGTTATTCCTCCGTCCCTGGATTAATAGATATCATGCCTATAGGCCCTGTTTAACATACAAATAGTTAGATAATTAATCAACTGTCAGTTTTCGACAACTACATCTAAGCAGGACTAATTTGGACTCCCTATCTGGGAAATATGTGGTAAATCAATTCTTCCTACGCTAATTTTAATTAATGACCTAGACAGTATGTGTAAGACATGCTAAACAATTCGTTTCTTTAAGTGAGGAGGCCTACTTGAGCCTTTAATTGTTCTTATTTCCCCATTAACTGCTTTATGTGTTTCGTTTGTCGCCCTAGAATTTTATCCTTTTAAAACCCCTGAAAACCAAAGCTCCCTCCCTTTTAAGATTAGTAGTCCTAAACGCCTCCGGTACTGATAGGTGGGACGGGTAATAGCATGCAGTAGGTAACAATACCATTCCGTGCTTAAATACCTTAACAGGGCGGGAAGGGTAGACATGGAGATGATGATCACATAATAACGCTATGCGTACCATTGATTACCGGTGTTGTGTGGATGATCCATGTGTTTTACAAACCTAGGACCCCCTTTCCTTTATGTGACTTGGTTTAATATCAATAAAATTCTGTCTTTTCAACTACCCAAAACCCCTCTTTAATTTTACTACATTATTCTTTTTTCCCCTAAATTTTTCTTCTTTGTTTATTCAATGTTTTGATTAATTTTCTGTATTTAGACCCTCCCTCAAACAAATTGTAGATCATCTAGACCTTGATTCCAACATGCTTGTTACGTATCTATTTGTAACCCTTATGTGTGAAGTTATTTGTATACTTATTTGCATTAAAGTCACAACATAGCATGGCCTGGAACCACACTAGTGGATCTTGAGGGGTGCCTAACACCTTCCCCTCGAGATAATTTCTAGCCCTTACCCGAACTCTGGTTTTCCAACTCAAAAACCCTTAGTGTCCTAATGCACTTAATCATTAGGTGGCAACTCTTCAAATCCAAAAACCCAAATCCCAAACGGGAATAGAGTTGTCTTCCCAAATGTCGTAGACCCGATTTCGGGAGAAAAAGGGGGCGTCGACAGCATGGCGACTCTGCTGGGGATTTCTTTAGGCTTTTACCATTACATGTTATTCGTGACTTTATTGCTTCTTTATTGCTTTTATTTAATGTCTTTATCTCTCTTCTACTTCGAAGTTGACTTGGCTTTTTTGTTTATTTTTCTTTCTTTAACGCTTTCATTTACTGTTTTCCTCCAATACCGTTGTAATTTTGAGCAATTATTGTAATCATTATGAGCGTGAAAATACGTGACAATTTGTTTCATTTTTTGTAATTGCATCTTCGACATCATATTCCACTCGTGCCAAACAAATACCATAGCAACACTTGATGAGTTATTGCGCTCTTCCGATATTATTACCCCCTAAATTTGGCAAAGGCATATTTGCGGTAAAACCAGTCGATCAGCGGTGCAGTTGACGGTTCCGTGCCTTTCCCTCTTGAGTTGTCCGCTTAAGGGTACCGGTCTAGCACCTCATAGAAAC